ACATAAAATAAAATAAAACTATTTAATATACAACGCTTTTATAAATGGACTAAAAATTAGAAAATAAAGTAATGTAAAAAAAAATATTTTTTTAAAAATAAGCTTTTATTTAACATGTTTAATCAAAGGAATAAAATAAAGTAGTGAAACAAAAATTTAGCAAGAAAATTTTGTCAAAACTGCACTAAAATGAATAAAATAAAATAAGTTAAGGTCTCGTTAAAGTTACTAAAAGCCATTTAGTGAAAGGAGTTATTCAAACTAATGAAAATTACTAACAATTTGTACTAATTTACTTCGTTTTTAAAAAAGCTTGTCGGCTGATTAAACATGTTAAATAAAAGCTTATTTTTAAAAAAATATTTTTTTTACATTACTTTATTTCCTTGTGCAAATAACTTCGAGCAAATTATCAACCTTGTCTAAATTACTTGTAATTTTTTGAGTGTGTTCATTCCACCGTAAGTTTCTGGTGAATGTTACTCTGTTCTCATCGTTGTTTTGAAGTTTATATCTACACTCCCAATCGTGGTTTTAGTAAAATCGCAATTTTGCTTCTTTCAGATATGAAGAGCTATTTTGTCCCCAAGTATGACTGCGCCTTTATTTGTTGCCCATTGGTATATTTTTGCGTCGAAGATATTTAAGCTTCTACTCACTTCCTCTGCTGTTCCAGAGGCCAGGCAAAAGATATTATCCGCGAATATACCCATATAATCTATACCGGATTGGTTTACTAGCAATTTGGAGATGGTGTTTGTGTAAATATTAAAGAACAGGACCGATAAAGGGGAACCTTGAGGTATTCCATTACCAATAGTGTAACTGTGATCCTTCTATGAGAGAGAAAGGAGAGCACAAAATTTAGCAATATTTTTGGGGCAACCCACGCATGAAGCTCCTGTATTATTTGCGAGGATATGACCCTATCGAATGCTTTTTCTAAGTCCTTAGAGATGACAACACAGTGTTTGTTGTTTTGTAGATTTGCTTTGATCTGATTTTCTAGGTGATAGATGGTATGTATATAAGATGGTAGATGGTCGGGTATATAAGCATGTTGAATGCTTATTATTGGTGTTTTAAACACTTTCCATAGTATTTTCGAAAATAGATTTTCTAGAACACAGAACTGGTAACAGGGATATAGGGTGATAACCTTCGCTACTATTTTGATTCTTTCCAGGTTAGGGTATTGGCGCTAGTATGGCATGTTTCCAGTCATGAGGGTATACTCCTGTTCTAGAATTTGACTGTATAACTCACGTAAACGATTTTTAAGGGAAGGTGAAGCGTTCTTGATCATCCTATAGGTGACTTAGTCATGACCGGGCGTGGTGCCTGTGAGGCCTTTTGGTGTTAGATGTATGTAGTTGTTAACGTTGTTACCACGGTTGCCACAAAACAAAAAAATTTCTGACCACAATTTACAAAAAGAAATTATCTAAAAGTTACCAAGTCAAAAACAACGTTTTATTACACAGTAAAGTGTAAATACAATCGTTTATTTGCCATAAATAAGACATGGGTACAATAAATAGTTTTGTTAAAAGAAAACTAAATAAATTCGTTTTACATATGAGGCCATGAGGGCCAGAGGAGCCTATCTACAAACAAATTTTTAGTATTTAATATAAGAAAAAAGGATCTATAAAAAATAAATGCCGTCCTTTAGTAAAAAATTCATTGCACCTATGTGATGCTACATATTATAGTAAAAGAAAACTAATAGGGCGTGTCTCGGGCTATTACCGTTTCGTTTGTGGTAATGCATTTTAAGGTGCACCTCAACTTTCTTTGATGTGTCAGTTAAGCTACTCTGGCGCTCAAGGCCTCATATAATAACTAAATACCTTTACATACGTATTTATATAAATAAATTTTTATTCAATCTCTGTATACGTGCGTGTATAAAGAAGAATATAACAAAAATTTGTGAAACAAAAAACAACAAATAAATATTTTTGCAACGCACGCGTTTTTTTCAAAATATACTTTTCATAAAAACGCGCTTTAAGCTCTTGTCTTTTGAACGGGATCTTAGCCCCAGAAAAAAAAAAACATTATTTAAAAAATCAACTTAAGTGCATATACCGAAGCGCCCTTTAGCGCTGCCCAAACTGCTATTCAAACCTCCTTTTTTTCATTTCCTCATATATGGATCAAAGGCCTAACAATAAGTATTGAACGTGTGGCATATTTCGTGATATTCACGGCTCCGCATTTCGCGTTGCATTTCGGACAAATTAGATGTGGTATCACCATATAGATAATAAAATATAGTATAGATGATTTTCAATAAAATAACATTAGTTTAAGATTTCCAGGCTTCTGATATATTAGACTTTAAACCTCTCAACATAAAAACATGTAAATACTGACGCGATAAATAATAAGGGTCTTCATCTAAAGTGATAAATTGGTTAAAATTATCAGTTTATCCGGCAATTCACACTTGATCATGTGATTGTTGGCTTCGTTGGTTTTTGTTAATATATCTATTGATAGAATGTTTAACTTTTAGGTGTGCTCATCCTTAAGTTATTTGTTTTTGTTATTTTATGGCCTTAAATCAATTACATTCAACAATTTTTATTGCGCTTGAGGCCGTTTTTAATGAAAAACTTATTGTGGGAAAGCAACAATAATTTGAAAAAATGGCAGAAGTGATAGCTATTTCGGAAATCTCCACATTTCCTCATCTTCTTTCAGTAGGATTCGAACCGACGCACAGTGGTCCAATCTGCTCTATTAGGGTAATTTAATTATTATATTAAGAACTAAGACTAACAACTTTTGCCCATAAAATGGGCAAGATCGAATAGAACCATATAATTAAAAAATCGTTAAATTTTTTCGTCAATTTCTGGTACATTTTTTAAGAACTTGCGCATGGTTATAGATACCTGCATACCTAAAACTTGTTTAACTTTTTGGGATGAATTAAAAATAGAAAGTCCGTTATGTATATACTGTATTGACGCCGGATCCGAATCAGCCGTTTTCTCACCTAACTTTTAGATTACGGGCCACTTTATCGTCTCGATATACGAGTTTTCGTTTTCTCATCAGCGCATTAATTTCTCGAATCGATAAATGGTGGCTCACCCGATGCAACCTCTAAAAATGTGTACCCAACTTTAAATTTTGGTTCGGTTTTGGAGTCAGATATGTTATATATTTCAACCAAGGTTTTGGTTTTTGCTAACAGTTGCTCTTGCTCTATATTTGCTTATGTTGCATTGCCAACCTTTGAAATTATATGACGAATGTAGTGAAGTTTCACTCTCGGAAATGTAGTGAAGTTTCACTCTACGGAATAACAAATTTATTTTGACCGGTAAGATAAGAAAACCAAAACACTTTAAAGTGAGGAACAATTTATCTGCCCTGTTGTAAGTAAACGATACATACGATAAATTTGTGTCGAATACACCGGCACACAAAAAAAAAATTAGTGTGATGTGTATTTGACCGGACTTACCTATGGTTATGTATTTCGACCCGCAGAATTCGAATTTGAAGTCAGTTTGGCCCATATACCTCCTAGATTTCGAGAAAACTTATGGTTTTAATGAAAAACTTATTGTGGAAATAATTTTTCAAGTTATTGTTGCTTTTCCACAATAAGGTTTTTCATTAAAAACGGCCTCAAGCTCAATAAAAATTGTTGAACTTAATTGTTATAAGGCCATAAAATAATAAAAACAAATAAAAACAATCTTCAAAAATTGTTTGGGCTGAACATATAGCAGGCGGCCCCAACTGTCTCCCATTCATAAATATAATTATTGTTATTAATTCGTAATTTGATCATAAATTTATTTTAAATATGTTCGATCAAATACAATAAATCAGTAATTTTGCTTAACAAATATATTGTGTCACTCAACTAAAAATGACAGTTGATTTGACAGATTTCAACTGAAAAAGTGTGAAGGTAATATAGAACTAGAGATCAGTGAGCCTTAAAACGTAGTACGTTTACTTCTTGGGAAATTCTCATTATTTTTAGAGAAATTGACAGCCCATTCGACAGCTGTCAAATCTCAAGGTTTTAATTTCACGTAAAATTCGTGACTAGCGTGTCTAAAACCCTTAGCAGTAGCATTTAAAAAATATTTTCTTATTATCAGTCAATTTGACAGCTGTCAACACTCAAAGCTTTAATTTGACGTAAAATTCGTGATCAGCATGTTTAAAAAGCTTATCAGTAACGTTTTTAAAAAGATTCTCTGATTTTTTTTAAAAATTGGCAGTCCGTTTGACAGCTGTCGACTGTCAAACTTTTAATTTGACATAAAATTCGTTACTAGCGTGCCTAAAAACCTAATAAGTGGTATTTTCAAAAAGATTTTCTTATTTTTAAGGAAATCAGCAGTTGATTTGATAGCTGTCAACTGTCAAAATAAAAATTGTATGGCATATTCAGATTTAGCATAACAAAAATACTACGATAATGCATTTTTATTATAATCGTAACAGCCTTTCTAATTTTTCGCGTAAAATATAGCTTCTCCGACCACTGTGTGACGTAAGAAAGGCGGTTTTGCAATTGGCCGATGGGCGGTTTTGCAAAAACATCGACGATATGTTAAAGGTTGTTTCAATTTACCCAGCAGGGAGTGACGTTAGCTTATACCTAACTTTAGTGTGTTTACGCGAACAGTAGTGGTAACTATTAACTGTATATTCTGTTCGAAAAAGCTATGCAAAAAAGTCTGTTATTTGTTAATTTGTTTACATATTCTGCAGAAGGTGGTCCTATATTGGAATTCCGTCAGACATAACATCAAAATGATGATATAAAATTTCGAACTTCATTTTATTTGTCCTGACACCCATTTTGCGATACATATTTTAATTAATTGAATTGGATTTTTTTAAACATGTAATGAATATAGTTAGGAAATATCCTAGATGAATGCTCCTAGATTGTAGATTTTTTTCTTTAAATTTATATTTTTTCACAAACATCCCCTACCTTCCCTTCATTTCAGATTTCACCTTTACTACACAACGAAGACCAAATATACCACAATATTGATTATGAAGTTGATGAATATAAGTACGTGGTAATGGGTCAATTACGGATGGGAACCAAAGTTCATTGACTGAAATTATATTAGAAATTGCAACTGAAAGCTGACAATTGCAGAGTGCTATACTGGAAACTGTATTTTTATGGTTGTCGTTATAGAGAAAAATTAATAATTGTTCTATTATTTCTGCACTTTGTTTTATTTAAATTCTATCGAGATGATCTAAAACTAGATATTTTATAAATTTTAATTCTTTTTACCGTCGGCAGTCACTAAACCAACTGAGGTGGCATTGGTTTCCATAATCTACCCATACATTTTACACTTATTGCTTAAGCTTAGAATCCAGCCCTTAAGAAAAACGAAAAATTCATATACATATTAAAGAAATGGAAAAGAAATTATCTTCCATAGAAATTTCTGAAAGCAGTTTGCAGCTCTTAAGAAAAAATGCTCGTATATATATTTCTTGAAGAAAATTTGCAGCAACGGTAAAGTACTTTTTGAAGTAACAGAAATAATGAAATATATTTCTTAAGATTTCCTTAAGGGCTGGATAGTAAGCTTTAGAATTGGGACTTTTTATTGCATTTTTTTATTTTTTTTTTAGAAAAGATATCGGGGCTTCACGTCTACCACATAATGAGGACAAAACCAAGCTACTGATGCATAGATGGCGTTACCCAAGCCTTTCCGTTCATGGCATTGAAGGCGCTTTTTACGAACATGGCGCAAAAACCGTCATTCCAGCTAAGGTCATCGGCAAATTTTCTATACGTTTAGTACCTAATCAAAATCCAGAACACATCACAGAATGTGTGATTGATTACTTGAACGCGAAATGGCATGAGCGGGGCTCTCCAAACAAAATGAAGGTGATTTGTGCGCCATTAAGTAGGTTAAACGTATGCTCTAAAAATGTAATTTAAAGGTCAACCTCGTTAGCAGTGGCAAACCTTGGACTGAAGATCCAAACCACCCTCATTATGAGGCTGCCAAAAGAGCCATCAAACACGTGTTCAAAACTGACCCTGACATGACTCGAGAAGGTGGCTCTATACCTATAACATTGACACTTCAAGAAGCCACTGGTAAGAATGTTATCCTGATTCCTGTGGGAGCTTGTGATGATGGAGCACACTCTCAAAATGAAAAAATAGATATTTTCAACTATATAGAAGGTGTAAGTAACAAAGCCGTTTTAGCCATGTTTGACATATATTTATTACAAAATTTCAACTATATTTTCAGACAAAGCTTCTTGGAGCTTACCTGCACGAAGTTGGGAAATTAGATTGAAATTTCGAATTAATTCCACTTACATCACAGGGATAACAATTATGCAGTATATATATCAGCATTAACACTTTGATAACAATTTTTAACGTGCAATAAAAATGTACTGAACAGAATTTTTAAACTAATCAGTCCACGTGTCGCCATATTTATTTTTGTGACCCCGGGTTGAGGTTGATGTATTGGAATCGGAGCCAAAAGGTGCTTTCAATGCTTCATTCTCTCTTATAACCACTGGTGCATTTGCTGACAAAGGGCGAGAATATGGATTTTGCTGTTTTTTCTCATACTCCTCGCGATTTTTCTTCCGTAGCTCCTCGTAACTCAATCCGTGTTTTGCTTGGTCGATTGGTACATCGGTTTCGTAGAATGGAGATGGATCTAAACAGAAAAATGTAAAGTTTGATTCATGGCTCGATGAAAACAGTGAACTTACTATCTAATGTAGGCCGATAAATATCATCAAGCCCCGCAATAGAAGGGCGAGTTTCTACATCTAAATTAAGAGCGCTGCTACGAGGGAGTTCTCGGCCAAGATCTTCGTTTGTGCTTGACAATGTTGAATTAAACGGATTCAAGCCCAGCCCGATTCCCATCCCTTGATCGGGATTAAGCCTACCCATTACGCCGCCATCCTTTCTTCTCTGCTTTAATAATTCTCCTAGCCTTGAATTGGGCAATCGCATTAGTTTTTCTGCGCACTTTTGTTGGTAACTAAATTTTCCAAGGAAATAACCAATTATTACACCCACCACCACTTTAGGCACGGCGCCATACTTAAAGTTGGGCTGAAATATGACAAAAGATAATATAATTAGAGATGAGCACTGTGATTCTTAGAAGAATATTATAAAGCATTTTACATTATTTTATGAGATTGGTTTTGTCAAAGGCTGAAGTAAGCTCAGCAGATTCAGAGTTGAGTGGAGGTCCCAGCCGTCACCAAACACACACGCCCAGTTCTGTTACTGGAGTGCCGACAATCTTACATTCAAGAAGAGAGAGAAACGGATTAACAGTGACGTTCGTTGTAGCGGCTACAACAACCCCGCCCAGATCGGTTAATATCTCAGTCGTTGTCGTCAAGTTCCACTAACGGCAGCCCTAAGAAGCGTGCAGCCTCAATAGGGTCGGTCCACAACGACAAAGGCGTTAGGGTTGTTGGGCATACGAAGAGATGTTTCGAGTCATGAGGTGTCTCTCCGCATTCCGGACATTCAGGTATGAGCAAGGCGAATTAATATAAGGTGATAGCAGGAGTACAAAAACAAAAATTTAAATGTATTTTGTTTTTGCTTTGGCGGCTTAAACTGTCAAAATCTGTAAGAGTGTGTGTAGAAATTCAAACAAAATTTTTCAATTTGACATCAGAAGCCGTGCGACGAATCACATACACAAAATCAGCTGATCTAGTAACACCACCTTATATAAATTCGCCTTGGGTATGAGTTTAACCTGCTGCAGTAGCCAGAGCGAAGTGGGGCTATTGTGGTTCTTGTCTCCCGAGGCAGATGAAGCTCCGTCTCGTCTATGTCCGGTGGTTAAGCGCCTAGAACGGCATTCACAGGTCTGGAGTCTATATAACTCGAGACTGACTCCCTGTGAATGCCGTTCAGGGCCTGTCGATATGCTGACGTTGTTTAATAACCCTCTGGACCTCGTTGTTGTTTTTGTTGTTGTAGCGGCTACTAAGCCCCGTTCGGTGCGGTTCATCCATCAACGTTGTCGTCTTTCAGCTAGGGGGAGGCCCAGGAAGTGTGCTACTTCCAGAGGGGCTGTCCATAGGGACAGGGCCGTTAGCTGAGTGGGATTCTCAGGGAAGAGGTGCCGGGAGTCATGTGGCGACTCTCCACATGTCGGGCATTGGTTGGGCACATCCTCGTTGATTCTGCTCAGGTAGCTGTTGAGCCTGCTGCAATAGCCAGAGCGAAGTTGGGCTATTGTAGTGCGGGTCTCCCGAGGTAGACAAAGTTCTGTCCCGTCCACGTCCGGTAGTTGTGTGCCTAGAACGGCATTCACAGGGCGGAATTCTACATAACTTGAGACTGATTCCCTGTGAATGCCGTTCAGGGCCTGTCGGTAGGTTGTCGGGTCCAGAAGTTATTTAATATACCTCTGGACTTCGTCTGTCAGTTCGTAAAGATGCCTCCTGACGTGCCGTGGCGAGGGCTCTTCCGCGAGCAATTGCCGCAGGGATGACCACGTCTGTGGCTCCCAGCGAGGAACTGCTTGCAGAGCATTATGTTATGCTCCTTTACTGGGAGCATCTGGGCCTCGTCGTGAAGGTGGTGTTGCGGCGTCATCAGGAGGCATCCCGTCGGAGTTCGTAATGCCGTGTTTTGGCAGGTCTGCAGCTTCATCCACTGCGTCCTGCTAGTCTCCGGCGACCATACGGGCGCTGCGTAGTTCAGAACCGGCCGGCCAATTGCTTGTATGTTGCCAACAACGTTTCTTTATCTTTGCCCCAAGTGCTGCCGGCCAGCGACTTGAGGACATTGTTGCGGCTCTGTACTCTGTTAACAATTGCGGTTGTATGCGCCGAGAAGGAGAGCAGACTGTCGAAGGTAACTCCGAGGATTTTCGGGTTATTCACCGTCGGTATTGTTACGTCATCGACGTGAATACCCAGTGGCAGTCTGACCTCCTTCGTCCAGGTGGTAAAAAGGGTTGCCGAGGATTTCGCAGGGGATAGGGCAAGGCTCCTTACAGTGAAGAAGCGAGAAAGTTCGGAGAGGTAACCGTTTACTTTTGAGCACAAGTCATCTATTCCATTCCCAGACGCCATGATCGAACAATCGTCAGCATACGAGACTATATCAACACCTTCTGGTGGCTGAGGAAGCCTTGATATGTAATAATTAAACAGTAGCGGGGACAGGACACCACCCTGTGGTACCCCCTGTTTAATTTTACGTGGCTTGGTGGTTTTGTCTCTGAAGATTACTGACGAGTGTCGACCACTCAGGTAATTCGCCGACCACCGTTTGAGTCCCTGTCGGATGAGGAGGTCTCTATATCTTCTAGTAGCGTTGAATGACTGACAGTGTCGAACGCCTTGGACAGGTCCAACGCTACTAGAATAGTTCCCTCACAGGGGCGGTTTCGGTTTAGGCCACGAGTTATCTGAGGGTTTATGGCGTTAAGTGCTGTTGTTGTACTATGCACTTTACGGAACCCATGTTGATGCTTCGCTGGGGTCAGGTGGTTCGTGAAGTACGGGAGCAGCCGGGCCTCGAGTGTCTTCGCTACCGGGGAAAGGAGTTATCGGGCGATAAGACTCTCCTTTGTTGGCTGGTTTCCCCGGTTTGAGCAGTGGGACCACTCTCCCCATTTTCCAGGTGTCTGGTATGATGAGAGTGGCCATTGACAAGTTGAGGACCTCCGTTAGGTACGCTACCCCCGCAGGACCCAAATTTTTCAGCATCAGCATGCATATTCCGTCGGGACCCATGGCTTTGGAGGCTTTCGCCTTCCCGATGGCCACCTGAACTTCACCGCAAGTGAAAGCAAGGGGGGGCACAAGTTGTTGGCAGTTTGTGCAGCCTTCTGGTCACTCGACGCTTGGCTTTGTCCACCGGAGGATGCAGTATGAACTGCTAGCAAAATAGCTCGCGCATCGCTCCGGGTCCGACAAAGCATGGTCGCCGAAAGAAATTTCGACTCTGTCGTCGTGCTTCGTCGGATTGGACAGTGACCTCACGGTTGACCAAAGCTTACTCACACCAGAGGTGAAGTTACAGGTCTTCAGATGCTCTTCCCATTTCTTCCGCTTATGTACGTTCCGAATTGAGATCCCTAATACGGGGATTTCCGGGATCGGCCTGACGAAGGTTGTCGCGCTCATCAGCTAGAACAGCCGCTTCGGCAGGAAAATTCGGACGTGGATCCTTAATACATCCTGCTGGGATGAAGCGAGCTGCAGCAGCGGTGACAACCCTGCGGAACTTACGTTCACCTACATGGGTAGTGCAGTGAAGGCGCCCTCAGTAACATCCGTGAAGCCTTTCCAGTCAGCTTTGGAAAAGTTGACATAAGTCCGGTGATCCACGGAAGCAAAGTCGGCAGGTTTATCAATCGAGATGACTATGGGCAGATGGTCTGATGCTAGAGTCAGCATAGGTCGCCATGATACGCTGTTTATCAGACCAGCGCTGACAATTGTTAGATCTGGCGAGCTGCAGCAGCTGCCCATAATCCTGGTGGGTGCGTCGTCTTTCATTGTGCAGAATGTCGAATCGTCTCTCTGCTCAGCCAGATGTATTCCCCTACGATCATTTGACAGGCTTGAGTGCCAGAGATCGTGGTGCGCGTTAAAGTCACCAACTACCATACGGTTTTCACCTCTGAGTAGCGCACCTATTTCAGGGTGATATCCTGCCGGGCAGCTGGTGACGGGGGTATGTATACGTTAAATATTTCGAGCTCAACATCGCCTGACCGGATAGCAATACCCTGACATTCTAGGATGGTATCCCTGCGGTCGATGTCTGCTTAAATGAGACGATACTGCACGGTGTTGTGCGTGATGAACGCTAAACCTCCACCATTATCTCGCTCGCGATCTCGACGGTGCACGTTGTATCCGGCGCAATTCAACAGGGTTGAATTGCCGTGCAACTTCGTTTCTTGGGCCGCAGCTATTAATATTCCATGCCTTCCTATGAAGACAGTTATCTCCTCGATCTTGCTCTGGAGTCCGTTACAGTTAAATTGTAGCACCTTTGTGTGCCTTGGGAGACCGATTGTGATGTGTGGTATTAAAGAGTTGTGTTGCCTGCCGGCCCCCTGCTGTACGTGCTGCAAAAGGGGGTGCTGCCTTGTGGTGGTGGTTGGCGGCGTAGCGGGGGATGGATGCGACGGGGCAGCACAGCAGGGGTCCACATAGTCACTCGTCCAATCTCGTGTGTTGCGAAGTCCTGAGCACGCCCTAAAGTGGCACCAGACGAGGCAAGAGTTGCACTTGACTGATGTCACGTTACGGTATATTCTGGACTGACAGGCAGAGCAGATTGTCGGAGGGACTAGGAGTTGCCGGCGGCGGTGTGAGGGTGCTATTGTGTTTGTTTGCGTGTCTAATGTTGTGTTGTGTTGGGGTGTGGGTGTGTTGATTGTGCTACCCAGGCGGGTGGTGGTTTGCGGTGGAGGCGGTCCGGTTCGCACAGCATGGGGCCACGAACGACGTGGTCCATTGCCGGTGCATACGCAGGCCCGAGCAGTTACGGAGGTGACTCCACCCGTCTCTGGCATACGCTGCAGGTGTAGATTTCTGGCCCTGGGTTTGACTCTATGCCAGCCCTGAGCAGAAGGGTGCGGAGAAGGTGTAGCCCTAGGATTGAGCAACGTTTGATGGATTTCGACGACCTAAACGGGGTTAGATCGCCGAAACAACAGCCCTTGGTCGGGTAAAACCCGAGTCATTCCGGTACGTAGAACAGGCTGTCGTGGGAATGCTGGACCTCGTCCGTCAGTTCGAAGAGATGCCTTCTGACGTGCATGGGCGAGGGCTCTTCTGCAAGCAGCTGCCCATTCGGGTGACCACGTCTATGGCTCCCGACAAGGAATTGCTTGCAGAGCATGGTATTATGCTCCTTGATCGTCGTGTAGGTGGTGTTCAGGTGACATCAGAAGGCATCCAGTCGCTGTCCGTAGTGTGGTGTTTTGTGTTATCTGCAGCTCCATCCACTGCGTCCTACTAGTCCCAGGCGACCACACTGGTGCTGCGTAGCTTATAACCGGCCGGCCTATTTCCTTGTATGTTGCCAGCAACGTTTCTTTGTCTTTGCCCCAAGTACTGCCGGCTAGCGACTTGAGGACCTTGTTGCGGCCCTTTGCTTTGTTGACAATAGCGGTTGCGTGCGTAGAGAGGGAGACTGTCGAAGAATTTTGGGGTTATTCACCGTCGGAATTGGTGTATCATCGACGTGAATTCCCAGCGGTAGCCTGACCTCCTTCGTCTAGGTGGTGAACAAGGTCGCAGAGGAATTCGTAGGGGAGAGGGTTAGGCTCCTTGCAGTGAAGAAGAGAGAAAGCTCGGAGAGATACCCGTTTACTTGCGAACACAAGTCATCAATTCCATTCCCAGTCGCCATGATCGAGCAATCGTCGGGTAGGAGATAATCGAGACTCCCTCGCGGATGTGCCAAATGAGTGTCCGGCATGCGGAGACCCCTCACGACTCGAAGCATCTCTTCGCATGCCCGGAAAACCCGACAACCCTAACGGCTTTGTCCCTGTGGATCGACCTTATGGAGGCTGCACGCTTCTTAGGGCTGCCGTTAGTGGATTTGACGACAACGACTGAGATATTAACCGATCTGGGAGGGGTTTTTGTAGCCGCTACAACAACTACAAATCGCCTTGGTGGTTGAAATGTAAAGGATAAAGTTTGAAATGTAAAGGTAAACAGTAGTGGGGAAAGGACACCACCCTGTGGAACCCCCTGTTTTATTTTTCTAAGTTTGCTCGATTTGTCTCCAAACATTACCGACGAGTGTCGAGCACTCAGATAATTCGCCGACCACCGTTTGAGCCTCTGTTGGAGAGAGGAAGCCTCTATATCTTCTAGTAGCGTGCAGTGGCTGACGGTGCCGCCTCTGACAGGTCTGTGGCAACCGGACTGAACGAACGACCCGATGGTAACCCTGGCGGTTACGAAAGAACGAAACAAAAGCGCACTCAACAAGACCGACGAGTAAATTACTTTTTATCGAATCGCCGGCGAATACCAACCTATTTGACCCAAATCATATTTTAAAAATATTAATTAGTTTGTTAAGCGCTTTAGCTGTAGTTTTATTGTTACAACCCAATAAAGTTAGTTTAAACACAAACTAGTGATTCACTTTATCCCCATAACTGGTGACCCCGAAAGGAAAAATCGGAGATAGTGAGTCAACACGCGGGAAAGGACCTCCGGTGAGACAGCGTGTGCACTGGTCAACGAGGCGACTGCGCCGGTATTCAGAACATCCTCAAGTTCCAGAAAAGACCAAAATCAAGGGCGCAGCGTCGGCAGCGTGAAAGTGCCACTACCTCAAAAGTCTTTGGAACGCTTATTAAGCCAGCAAATATAACGGCACACCGAGTAACGGTTCTCGGTGACACCTACGACCTCTGGAAAAATGAGCGTGAACGGGAGCGAAAAGAACTCCGCAGAGTCTGCTAAAAACGACAGCAACGCTGACGACACCGAAAGTGCCAACAACGTGGACAGCGACAAACCGCAAATCAATGCGGTTTTCGGGAAACTACCGTTTCCCAAGCTCAACTCAAGATACAACATCGAGTCGTGGTTTATTAAGGTGGACGCATGGTTCGAGCTACAATGGTTTGGCGTACGTAAGGAGAAAGATAAGTACCCCGCTATAATAGCACATGCGGACGACTATATTCTGGACCAGGTTTTCGAACTAGTGCGCTGTCCACCTACAACGGCCCCGTACGCCACGCTAAAAAAAACCATAATCGATAAATTCAGCGATTCAGCTATGGCTCGACTCGATAAACTAACTGGCATACAGCTTGGTGACAGTAAGCCAAGCCACTTGCTTAGCCAAATGCAAAGGACGAATGCTACGAAAGACGAGTCCGTTATCCAGCAATACTGGCTTAAGCAACTACCGGAAGCCGCACGCGCCGTCATCGCCGGTATGCTCCAGGCGCAACCAAGCACACCATTGCATCAACTCGCCATTATCGCTGACGCGGTACTCGACGCACTAAGCCGCGATACGCACCTAACATCTCCGGCTAAGGGAGCTGGGGTCAACGCGATTGAAATGCCAGCAAACCGGGTGGCCTCTCTAGAAAAGCGGATCGAGAAACAAGATGCCATCCTCGACAATATTAACAGTAAGTTGAACCAACTGACTCTCCGCCATCGCAGCCAACAACGCGAACGTTCACGCAGCAACGCGAGATGCTCTAACACACCCCGTGGTACTACAAAGGCGGACCAATATCCGACTTGTTGGTATCATCGCGAATACGGAACGCAAGCTCGTAGGTGCCGCAGTCCTTGCGACTTCCCGACGAAAACCACAAGCACAACAAAAAACTGAGCACTGCCATACAGCCTAGGCTCGAAGCTTACGGCAGAATAGAATCATCGGGCAATCAGTCACAATGCGAATTAGAGGTAAAGTTTTCAGAATTCACAAAATCTAAACGTTTTTTCATCCCAGATAGAAAGTCAGGCGAACTGTTTTTGATCGACACTGGTGCGGAAGTATCAGTTATTCCCCCAACGCGGGCATGTCGGTTGTCGAATTTCAAAGGCAGCCCGCTGTTCGCAGCTAATGGCACCACCATCAACACGTACGGCGTAACACGGCGAACACTCGACCTAGGCCTACAACGCAAGTTCGCATGGGACTTCGTCATCGCGGAGACGAAGTACGCAATTATTGGCGTCGACTTCCTCGGTCGCTTTAACTTAATCATCGATATCGCGAATTCCATACTAATCGACAAAGCCCACAAATCCACTCATCGACAAAGTCCGCCAGGCATATTTAGCTTCGAAAAGATGAACATCAACGAAACATGCAGCAATTCCGCCGATATCACAAATCTACTCCACGAGTTTAGTGGGATCACTAATCCTAATGCAACGGCCCCATCGGCAACACAGGCTGGAGTAACTCACTGCATCGAAACGAAAGGCCCGCCTGTTTTCGCTCGACCAAGACGCCTCACAGCAGATAAATTAAAAGCGGTAAAAGAGGAGTTCGAATTTCTAACCAGGCTTGGAATTTGTCGGCCATCAAAAAGCTCGTACGCCTCCGCGTTACACCTGGTCAAGAAAGCAAATGGGGAATGGCGCCCATGTGGCGACTATCGTGCTCTTAACGCCCAGACAGTACCGGATCGTTACCCGCTACCACACATACAGGACTTCACGCACTTCTTGTACCGAAAAGGCGTGTTCAGCAAAATCGATCTCAACCGAGCGTACCATCAAATTCCCATCGAACCTGGCGATATCCCGAAGACGGCAATAACCACGCCATTCGGATTATTTGAGTTTACGCACATGACGTTCGGTCTGTGCAACGGGGCGCAAACGTTTCAGCGTTTTATGCACGCAGTTTTCCGTGGACTAGACTTTGTTTTCGTGTACATCGACGATGTGTGTATCGCTTTAGAAAGCATCGAGCAACATTAAGGCCATTTGCGACAAGTTTTCGTACGTCTTCGACAGTTTCACCTGACGATCAACCTCAGCAATTGTAAGTTCGCTCAAACTCAAATAGAATTTCTCGGGCACGTCGTCACACCAGAAGGTATTAAGCCTTTGCCTGAAAAAGTTCAAGCGATCGACAATTTTCCTCGGCCCAAAGTTGCCAAAGAACTACGACGGTTTTTGGCGATGATAAACTTTTACCGTCGGTTCTTACCTAACGCAGGGCATCACCAAATACCGCTGGTAGAATTAATCCCGGGAAATCGAAAAAATTATACAACCCCAATCAAATGGACCGAGGACGCGGTCAATCACTTCACTGAATGCAAGAAGCAGCTAGCAAACGCAACACTACTAGTTCGCCCAGCACCAAATGCCCAGATATCGCTAAGTACAGACGCCAGCGATAATGCCATCGGTGCTGCACTCCACCAAATCGTCCACAATGAATTTCAACCGCTCGCATTTTTTTAGTAAAAAGCTCACCGACGCCCAACGTAGGTACAGTACCTATGATCGGGAGTTGCTCGCAGTATATCTAGCCATAAAACATTTCCGTTCGACCGTTCGAGGTACGAACCGCCATAAGCCACTCGTGTATGCGTTCAGGCAAAAACCAGAGAAAGCATCACCGCGACAGCTGCGACAGCTTGATTTCATTGTTCAGGTCGCCGGTACCGAAAATACCACCGCCGACGCACTGTCACGCATCGAGACAATCGAGTCAATAGCAATCGACTACAAACAAATCGCTGAAGATCAAACAAAGTGTTCAGAGCTGAAAAAACTCATCGAAGGCAATACTTCTCTGCAGTTAAAATGGATACGCATGCCAAATACCGAACACAAAATCTGTTGTGATGTATCTACACCGGAGGTACGCCCGTTTATACCACAATCGCACCGTAGAAATATCGTCAACAAGTTGCATAGCATTTCACACGGAGGTGTTCGGGCAACCACAAAACTCATCAAGACACGATTCGTTTGGCCGAACATGGAAAAGGACATATCAAATGCAGTTCAACGGTATCTCAGCTGCCAACGATCAAAGGTCAGCAGACATGTGCGATCTCCTTTGCAAGCAATCTCGTTACCATCGTGCAGATTCGAGCACATTCTCGTGGACATTATCGGCCCATTACCGCCATCGAACGCATACCAGTATTGTCTGACGATCATAGACAGGTACACACGCTGGCCAGAAGCCATACCGATTAGAGACATAACTGCAGAAACAGTCGCAAAAAAAACTTGTCAGCGTTTGGTTTTCACGATTTGGCATACCTGCGCGCATCACCACTGATCAGGGAAGACAATTCGAGTCCCAGCTGTTCAACGAGTTGCCACGCATGCTAGGCATAACTCACCTGCGTACAACGGCATACCATATCCGCAAGCGAACGGGATCATCGAACGTTGGCACCGTTCCCTGAAAACGGCGGTAACTTGCCACGAACGAGAAGACTGGAGTTATCGCCTGCCTATAATACTCCTAGGACTTCGCACAGCATTTAAGCCCGACATCGGAACAACTGCCGCGCAACTCGTTTACGGCGCCAATCTAAGATTACCGGGACAGTTTTTTTAATGGCAGCCAGAACCAT